AATTCTTAGTGGACAAAACCTAACAAAATGAAAGTACACGTACAGATTAAAGTTCTGAAACTGATGTTTGACTTCAACTATATGTAATTATTTCCAGTGACCAAAACTTAAAACAGAAAACAAAACATAACATATTACAGAGTTCAACATAAAGCTGTCACATTTCCCACCAATAATACAGTTTTTGTAGTAAAACTGAAGAGGGTGAAATATCTCTAAAGATAAAAATGCTGAATATACTTTCTTGCCTTAGCTCTTCCACTGGAAGAGAAGGAATCAAAACAAATGTCCCTAGTTCTTATCATCATAGGGGACTGGGCCAGAATTGAAAATTGAAAATGGTAAGCGAAAAATTTATTAGAGTCTTGGTGGTGTCCTTAGGCATTTAGTGAAACCAAAGAACAATTTTTAATGGGACATATTTTTAACCTAGGCTTCATAAAAACTCTGATAATATATATGGTTCACAGAAACATGAGTTCATATTAAACAAAAGGCACATGACAGGGAGCAGGAGTGAAATGAGAAAATATTTGCTGAGATAACATCAAACTACAAAAATAGTATGGGTAAGATTATAGATTGTAGGGTGCCTGGGTGGCTCAGTTGGCTAAGCGACTGCCTTCAGCTCAGGTCATGATCCTGGAGTCCTGGGATCGAGTCCCACATCAGGCTCCCCGCTCAGTGGGGAGTCTGCTTCTCCCTCTGGCCCTCTTCCCTCTCATGCTATCTCTCATTCTCTCTCTCTCAAATAAATAAAATCTTTAAAAAAAAAAAAAAAAGATTATAGATTGTATTAACTGACAAATACTCACTATAAAGTCAATATATTAAAAATTATACGATCTGAAGAGAAACCAGAGTAATAGTAAAAAAAGCGTAAGTTCCTTATATTAACTAGAAAAATCTGAAAAATAAATTCCAAAAACAGAAAATATACTGTTAGAAACCCACAATTCAGAGTAGTTTAATAAAAATTAGCTACTGTGGGGAGCGCCTGGGTGGCTCAGTCGTTAAGCGTCTGCCTTCGGCTCAGGTCATGGTCCCAGGGTCCTGGGATCAGAGTCCTGCCTCGGGCTCCCTGCTCGGCAGGGAGCCTGCTTCTCCCTCTGTCTCTGCTCCTCCCCCCTCCCACCCCACTTGTGTTCCCTCTCTCATTCATTCTCTTTTGAATAAATAAATAATCTTTAAAAAAATTAGCTACTGTGAAAACCGATTCATTTTAAAATTATTTAAAACAAATTACCAGAAGGCAACATGAAGATAAAAAAGAGAAAAGTGTGAAAGGGACATAAAGAATGATGAAGTTAAAATAAGATTCAGATATGGGATTTTTATGATAGAAAAACAGTGAATAAGTTATGGTAGAAGGGTTCATAGCTAGAATTGATGAGAGGTGAATTCTCAGATTTGAGAAACACAATAAACCCCTGGTATTTTAAATTAAAAAGTCACATCTCCTATCAAGAAAATCTGCAGTAGGGCGCCTGGGTGGCTCAGTTGGTTAAGCGACTGCCTTCGGCTCAGGTCATGATCCTGGAGTCCCGGGATCGAGTCCCACATCGGGCTCCCTGCTCAGGAGGGAGTCTGCTTCTCCCTCTGACCCTCTTCCCTCTCGTGCTCTCTATCTCTCATTCTCTCTCTCTCAAATAAATAAATAAAATCTTTAAAAAAAAAAGAAAGAAAAACTGCAGTAATCCAGGACAAAGACATCTTATGGCAGCTAGAGAAGAAAAATAAATTAAATTACTTCTAAATGTTAAGATTCATAGTTGATGTCTCAAAAATTAATAATCCAAGAATATTTTTAATGTATTGTTTTTTGTTTTTAAGATTTTATTTATTTGACAAAGAGACACACAGCGAGAGAGGGAACACAAGCAGGGGGAGTGGGAGAGGGAGAAGCAGGCTTCCTGCTGAGCAGGGAGCCCAATGCGGGGCTCGATCCCAGGACCCTGATCATGACCTGAGCTGAAGGCAGACGCTTAACGACTGAGCCACCCAGGCACCCCTATTTTTAATGTATTGTGAAGAAAATAACTCCTACACCAGATTTACACATACTCAGAGAAGTAACTTTTTAAGAATAAAGGCAAGGAAACATTTCTTTTTGACAATAAAAAAAATTAGCAAATACTTCTACTTATAAAATTTCTGAAGATTTTATTTCGGACAAAAAGGAAAATAGCCTTTGAAGAAAGATCTGAGTTTCAAGAGAAATGGTAAACCAAAAAGAAGAAGTATACACATGAATAGGTGTATATTAAACTTGAAAATATAAAACAGTGAAAATGATACCTGTTTTATCAAGCAAAAAAAAAAATTTTAAAGCCCAAATAAAAATTTTACAAACGTTAGAAGGGAGGTGAAGAGAATAGCAGTAATTTTACATTGTTTTGGATGGAACAAAATTCCAATAAATTTAAACGTTAAATCACATTCACTATCTTTTTTTAAAGATTTTATTATTTGAGAGAGAGTGAGAGAGTAAGAATGAGTGGGTGGGAGAGGCCAAGGCAGAGGGAGAAGCAGACTGTCCACTGAGCAGGGAGCCGGATGTGAGGCTTTGATCCCAGAACCCTGGGATCATGACCTGAGCCAAAGGCAGATGCTTAACCAACTGAGCTACTCAGGTCTCCCTAAGCTGTACTTAAAGTATTAAGAATAACATACATACTTATGCACACACATATATATTCTTATGTACATAACTGACATAAAACATTTAAAATGGAATACAAAAATTAGGTAAGAAAAGAGAAAAAGAAAACATAAGGGGTAGAAATACTGAGTTCTAACTAAGACAGTAAGATGACTACAAATCATCAATTATCACAAAAATAGAAAACTGACTCCAGTAAACATATAAAAACTATATGGACTTAAAAAAAAATCAGTTGTATATCAGTTATAAGAAACATACCTACAGCCTAAGTAAAACACGGCATATAAAAGATATATACCAAGTAAAACTCAATCTAGGACCCAAGAGAAACTAACATGTAAGGAATTCAGTAGCAGGAAAGAGACCACTCCATTTATGTTTTATAAAAGTTACAAAATTAGTAATAGTACAAGCCCCTACTGGAGAGAATACTGTATTGTGAAAATATTGCAAGTACTTACATATCTATACATACATACACAGTCACACGTCTAAGCATTACACATGCACTATAAGTACTTGGGGACTTCTAACAGTGTGCAGACAATATAAATTGTATACTTTTAAAAGTCTACACTTGGAACAACCACTTCCAAATACGAAACCTAGAGACTCTCACTTCAGGAGACATGTAAAATGATGTTTGTAACAGCCAAATACTGAAAGCGATCCAGCAGAAAATGGATAAATAATGGTATAATCTCAATGGAATATTATACAGTAGTGAAAAACCAGGTAAGTTCAAGCTTTAGGCAACATATGAATGATTTTTCAAAGCATAACACTAACTTTAAAAATTAAGCGAGAGGTACACACAGAATAACATTTACAAAGCTCAAAAATTAGGTAACATGCTTTTTAGAAATACATTCATTAAAAAATTAAAAGAAAATTATGACAATAAAATTTTTATCTGTCTCCTTTCGGGGCTTTTGAGGTGACACAGGGAGATATGACTTGTGGGGAAGCATGGAAATAGATATAACTATATAAGAAAACATCATTACATTCAAATGTGGGTTCAAGGATATTATTTAATATTATGCTTTATAACTGATAAAGAAACTACATATATTCTGTTGTGGTTTTACAATATCACGATTAAATTGTTTCCAATTTCCAAAAAGTAATTCAAAGAACACCAAGATGTCAATAAAGGAAACTACAGGTGATTTCCCTGTTTCCTTAGTTTATACTTTTCAATTTTCCATAATTGACATATAAGACTTTTATTTAAGAATCTGAACTACTGGGGTGCCTGGGTGGCTGAGTGGTTAAACATCTGCCTTTGGCTCAGGTCATGATCCCAGTGTCCTGGGATCGAGCCCCGCATCAGGCTCCCTGTTCGGGGCAAGGCTGTGTCTCCCTCTCCCACTCCCCCTGCTTGTGTTCCCTCTTTCACTGTGTCTCTCTCTGCCAAATAAATAAATAAAATCAAAAAAAAAAAAAAAAAATCTGAACTATTTTTTATTAAAACACTCTGTTCAAATGCTGTTATCTATGTACACATACCTGTCTCTCTCTGTATATTCCATATAGTTAATATAAGTTAATATGCTTACAAAAAGCTAAGCCTTCCTGAAAATTTCTCACCTCTTATATTGCTACTTTTTTTATCTGGAACAATTGTCTCATAAGGGTTTACATGAGGTCAATGTATATACAAAGCTGAACAGTATTTGTCCAGGCTCTGGCCATCATGGTAAAACAAAAATGAGAAAAGGAATAACTGCTCAATAATACAGATGCATTATCTTTTAGCTTCTTTTTCCCAAGTAAGTTCTGCTTCACCCATATTGTTTGGCTGTCCATAAGAAACTTCTAATGTAATTAGTTAAATCTTCAAACATCTAAATGGGTCTGACTCTACATGAGATCACCTTGGATAAGGTAGTTTTCATATTACTCCATTTGTTCCACATGATGAAGACAAATTAAAATGTCAATGAGGGCATTTCCCAATTTTCTTTCAAATTTATATATAAATATGAATAAACTGGTGACAGCAGTTGTTTTTGTCTATCATGCAGATAACCAAAGATGATAAGCTTTAAGTATTTAGTTTCAGGGAAATCAGAAGGACCCCTGTAGCTCCTAATTGATAAATCCAAGGTTTCATATTATTCCTTTTTTTTTTTGCTATCACAAATGCAGAATGGAAATAGTGATGGTAATGGTGGTTATGCACATGGTGGGTTACTGACAGATCAACCAATGCCAGTAAATCTGACCTTTATTCTGTTATGTGAAAACAGCACTATGTGGAAGGACTCATGAGTACAGATGGTTTTACATGCTATCATGTGCAGTTAATATGAGTTACAAATCACATTACCTCTTCCTCGGGGGACAGGTTCCCTTTGCTATTGCTGACAGGAAAACCACTGCCAAATTCTTTGGAATGAATGTCTGCTCCATACTCAACTGTGACATCCTCCTCAATGCTGCTCACTAGTCTCCAGAATTCCTTCTCCACAAGTTCTGTAGGTACCATCTGTGACAAAAGATGTAAAAGATGATCATAGCACTTTCTATTTTGGCCCCATGTCTGTATGAACACTAAGACTTATCAGATACTAAACCGTATATCTCTACTCCACAATCACATACATGTACAGGCATGTTGAAGTAGTCAGTCTTGAAGGAATCAGCCATTTCACCAAAGCTCTGCAAAGTGTACTCCTGGGTAGCCTGCTCAAAGCCAAAAGCTTCAGGGGGCCTCTTACACTCCTAAAAATAGAAAGTATTTCAGCAAGAAAGAGAAAATAGGCAAACGACCTAAAAAGAACAGCAGGAGATATATCTTATGTTCTACCGTCGACCTTTTCTTACGTTTCAAGGTAGTTCACTATCTACTAAACCTATGTCTTTTTCTTTCCTCATATGGTTCACATCCTTTGTATTATGGTCCTTACTAACTGTTTTAAGTGTGTACAGTCTAACCATTCTTGCTTAATAACTCATAGATAGATAATCAAAACCTAATAGAAATATTAAGTTAGAAAAGGGCATCCGTAACATCTACTCTAGTATCCCTTAAAAACAGGAGCCTAGATTTTTAAAAATTACCAAGAACTAAATTTAAAATATTCTATTCAATAGTCATACCTCCATGATACACTTTGGGCATCTCCAGACCCCTCTAGGGATTTCAAGAAGGGGTGGTATTAGGCAGAAGATGTGGTAATTGTCATCGCAGCCATCACACAGAAGTAGTTTATCATCTTCATCCCCTCGGGAGCATATTCGACAAACATATGAGTCAATCTACCAGGAAAAATAAAAATATAAGTGCCTACTCCATGATACCTTATCCCAGGTTTCCAAACCACTTATCTTGAACAGCTACCACCAAACAACTACTACAAATGTTGTACTCATGAGTTCACTATATGGGGAAAAATATGATAGGACATAAACAATTATGAAATAATATAACACATCAAGAAATAAACCATGTTTAAGGTGCTTACAGAACAACAAACTAGATTTTTTATAGAAGATTTAATGGTACAAACCTAAATCATGAAGCTATATAAACTGGCATGGATCATTCAAAAAACTACATATGGTTAATAATAAAATATGCTCTTATGACTCACTGATATGAAGAATTCTTAATCTCAGGAAACAAACTGAGGGTTGCTGGAGTGGGGGTGGGGTGGGAGGGATGGGGTGGCTGGGTGATAGACATTGGGGAGGGTATGCGCTATGGTGAGCACTGTGAATTGTGTAAGACTGTTGAATCACAGACCTGTACCTGTGAAACAAATACATTATATGATAAAAAAAAAAAAAGATAGCAGGAGGGGAAGAATGAAGGGGGGAAATCGGAGGGGGAGACAAACCATGAGAGACTATGGACTCTGAAAAACAAACTGAGGGTTCTAGAGGGGAGGGGGGTGGGGGGATGGGTTAGCCTGGTGATGGGTATTAAAGAGGGCACGTTCTGCGTGGAGCACAAACAATGAATCATGGAACACTACATCAAAAACTAATGATGTAATGTATGGTGATTAACATAATAAAAAAATTTAAAGAAAAAAATAATAAAATATGCTCAGTGCAAGCTGACCATAATAACCCCAACTGATCAAATATCCAGTAACACCTGTTATTCTGTTATAAAGTTTAATAGGCGTCCATTCTCACTCTAAATTGTGTCTTTGATTTTCATAATGAATTGGTCACCAAAGTGGTATGCCATAAGAACAAAACACTAGGGGGGAAAGCCAAACAACCTGGATACTTAGATACCACTGACATAACCTAGTATTACCAGGTATTACCAGACAAAAAACAAAACATATCAATACATTTTTACCAGGATGAATATTAGAAAAACCACCTGAAGTGAGAATATACCAGAAGAATTGAGAACTAAAATGATCACTAAAAAGAGAAAAGAGGTGACTCACAGAGTAGGACAAAATGTATGATGTCTGTATAAAGCTAGACAGATACATATATACACCTTTTATATCAATATAGGAGACACAAAAATACATAAATGTACAAATACATATACATATGTATATGTATTTACACACACATATGTACATTAGCTTACATATACATGTATGTGTGGCACTAACCTTTAGTCACAGAAATTTCAATCCTTTCACATATGCAATAAAAATGCCTATATATCTTTCCTACTGGCATGGATTTTAACATTACTATTATTCAATTTATCCTGAAAACTGCAAACTATCAAAATTTCCATCAACAGTAAGAGAGACTAAAAAAATCATAGCTGTTATTTTTAAGAAGCGTACTTAATAAAACCCAATACGAGAACTTACACAATATACTCTAAAGTGTATCAATAAACAAGACAACACAAGATTATATAGTGATACTACTTATTTAAAGTACAAAAATAAGCAAAGCTATTTTTATGTATTAAAATTTTTTTTAAAAAAAAAGAACATTTTTCTGTATGCATGCTATAAAAACAAAAAAAGGCAATAGAACTAGATAACCAACTAGATGTAGGGGTAACAGAAAAATCCTAAAAGACTCCCAGACTTCACATTTGGATGACAAGATCTTGCTACAGTCCATAACATAAGAAACACAACGTCAACTGGGAGGTAATGATAATATAGATAATCCCTAACTAATTAGAAAGAGATGATTAAGAGAAATGCAGGAGCTGAAGTTCAAAATAGAAGTCTATTCAAAGATAAAATTTCTAGGGGTGCCTGGGTGACTCAGTCAGTTACACGTCTGAATTTGGCTCAGGTTGTGGTCCCAGGGTCCTGGGATGGAGCCCCACATTGGATTCCCTGCTCGGCGGGAAGCCTGCTTCTCCCTCTCCCACTCCCCCTGCTTGTGCTCTCTCTCGCTGTCAAATAAATAAATAAAATCTTTAAAAAAAAAAAAAAAGGTAAAATTTTTAGGAACATCAGTAGTATCAGAGTAGGAGTGTCCAAACAAAAATTATAAAAAAAATAAATTTGTTAGAAAAGGAAAAGGACAATCAAGTAAGGAAATTTACCATTTTATAAACATACAGACTCCAAAATATTCAAGTGATTCTAAAAATATTTCTAGTAAAAAGTACAGAACAGGAAAAGAACAAAAGGCACGATCAGAGAAGAGAGACCCTGCTATGAGATATGGGATTTCTGAAGCATTTGCCAAAAACAAATAGCCTTCACATTATGTCCTACCATATAAGGTGTAAAACAAGCTGACAAAACAAGCTGACAAAATACTTATCATTGTATTGGAAAAGATTCAGCAGTTTGGTGAAAATGTCAGATTTTAAAAATAGGAGACACAGGGGCACCTGAGTGGCTCAATCATTAAGCGTCTGCCTTCGGCTCAGGTCATGGTCCCAGTGTCCTGGGATTGAGCCC